CTCCTCATTCTTGTGAAAGAGAAGGGCCCTGTGCTCAGGAGAGATGTGGGGGGCGTGGCAGCACAGGGCAGCGAGAAGAAGATGAACTGCATGTTGTAGATGATGCTGATTTACTGATTATCCCAGAACAGTCTGCTGAATCCAAAGAGACTGTTAAAACCACCCCAGCAGTCTCACTGCCACCTTTGATATTTAGAATTGAGGAGGTTGAGGTAAACCCAGTCCAATTAAGCATGGGTACTTTAATCAAATAAAGATGAAGGGCAATCAAAGACAAAAATAGTATCTTTACTGATTTCTGGGAGATAATTATATCAGGCTTGCTGCACAGAAAGAGAAAAGGATATTATAAGGTTGTAAAAGGGAAGACCTTAAAATCTGTACCATTACATTAATGCTCTGCAGCCATAAAGCAAAGAAATCTCCTCCTAGAGTGGTGGAATCAGGATAGTTAGTAACTATATCTTTTGTCTCTTTAAAAAATTAAAAATTTCTTTTTAATATCTTTTGTCTTGATTGTACCTATAGAAGGAGTTAGTTGTTATATATATATAACAAGCTCTTAGTCAAGCTCAATAGAGATACTAAAATGTTGTTTAATTAAAAGTGGGGCGATCACATTATTTTAGATTTATGTACAAATAAAATTAAGAGGCTAACTTTATAGTGGTTACTATTAAAGTAAGTTATAGCAATTTGAAAATGCTGTGACAACTGTAATCACAAAAACCAATTCTAAGTTATTTTGAATTCTGATTTTGTGTTAGTGCCTTGATCTGTGATTACTGATACATATTCTCTGCAAACTACACGAAAGTGCTTTTACTCAAAGAGGGGGCATTTCCAAGCTACTGATGGAGCTCAGTGTTATTTAATTGGATGGACCAAAAGAAATGTGCTTTTCTCTATGTAATTCCTTTTTGTAAAATTGAGGTATGATTAACATATAACATTATACTAGTTTCAAGTATACAACATGATAATTTGATATTTGTATGCATGTGAAACACTCACTACAATGTCTAGTTAACATTTGTCACCATACGTAATTTCAAAAAATGCAATTTCCCTTTAAAACCAATTCAGTTGTGGGTTTTTAATCAGTATTTTTTCATGATGGTATTCAGTTGAGATTGGTCTCTCCCTCGCTCCTCCTACCTTCCCATAGCTCTCCAATGGTGAGTATTAATTTATTATCTCTAAGGATGACTGTACCAGGTGCCCACAAAATGTATGCACACTTTAACAGCTGATAGCTCAATTTTGAAAATGAAATCTATTTTAATAAACATTGTCTTTATAATTATTCAAAATGTATGTATACTTTTTTTGGGGGGGTTGGCAAAAGTAGGTTTATAGTATGTAAAACAGCATTTATTCTTGTATTATTATTTATTAACTATTACACTTATTTGTATTACAACTGTAAGCCTATTTTTGCCCACCCCTGTGTAAGAATTACAGTATGATTTACCTTGTAGAACAAGCATGTCAAACTCATGGCCATCGGGGCCACATGCCTCGTTTATTTGGCCCGTGTTAGCCTTTGAGTTTGACATGCTTGTTGTAGACCATCCTTTGTTTTACTAACATGGTGCTGTAGAGCTTGTCAACCGTTTAAGAACTAAAACTGAAAGTGAATGGTAAAGTATTTGGTCTCCAAGGTAAAGTCAACAGATTCCACATTACTATAATTTTCTGAATGAAAGAATCTTTACCCATGGCATCATATTAAGCAGCAATGCATATATAGAAGTGTGAGAATCTCAAGCAACATTTTAAGCAAGGGTCTTTAACCTGGGGATATACATAGTTTCCTGGGACCTGGAGGAGATCTGATGGAGAAACGGAAGAACAGAAGCAGATCACAAGAGAAAGCTGTATGAGAGAAAGAAAAGGTGGGTGTTGTGCCTTAGGCATAGGTGGGCTGAGCTTTTTTTCTCTGAATTTTCCTCTATCATCCTACCCAATCTGTGCTCTCTCCCACTCCTCCCAAATCCCTTAGAAACCTTTGTCTATGGGGGTGGTTACCATAGCTGGGTTTAAAAAGCTTTTCTTCTATTATTCTTACAAAATCTCCCTGGAGTAAGCTAATATTATCACTATTTTACAGACGAAGGAACATATGTCAGTAGCACACAATTATAAAGAAAATGGCAAAGTAGAGATTAGAAAATTGTTCTGTGCTTAGTGACCTAAAATAGTTTCATCATCTTCATATGATTAATCCCAGAGTAAGTGGTGTGAAGATTCAGAAATATCTGGAAAACTGTAGAAGGAAAATTTGATCCACCACCAAGGATTTCTTTCTCTTATTTTTATATTAAAAAAAAATTTCACTGGGAAATTCCTCAAAGACCTCAGAAAATAAGCAAGAAAAAAATGGTGCCCTCTTGCCCCGAAACATTTTAAAAATAGGTTTTCATACCTCAACTCAGAGAGTGAAAAACTGGGTACTGTCTTGAGAGCCAGTACATCAGAAGGTCCTGTATACTTACTGAAAATAGTCTGGAATCAGGTTACTGCAAAAAGGAGCAGAAGGAGGAGTGGTCACCAGCAGGTAACAAGAGAAACTTACAGTGTTCATGCATGATCAGTGACGTATGATGGCTTCCTTCTCTCCCTCAAGTCACTGAGGCTGAGATAGGGTTTGCTGCCCTGGCCCCATGTTTTCAGTATTATTAGGATGCCTCTTCCTCTCTGACTGTTTCTTTTGTCTGTGTCACTCGTCAAAATCCAGGACAAGTAAGGGCAGAAGTTAATTTTGTCATATTCGATTTAGAGAGGAAGGACTACAATAGACACTAAAGAATAATACTACCATAAACACATTATAGTTATATCGAGTGAATGATTGATATACTTCCTATTTTAACTCCATTTGGCACTTAGGTGAGCCTTGTCACAAGTCACAAGTCTCCAAGCCTCAGTGACCTCATCGGTAAGACAGAACTCATTGTCCCGGTCTTGGTGGGTTGTCTTAAAGAATAACTGAGTGCCATACACAGTGGAAGCTGGATGGATAGTGAATACTTTGGTCTAACCTGTGATTATAACCCAGATCTTTCAGACAAAGCCTGAATTCTGTCTTTTGGAGTTACACGTTAGAGTTTTCTAAATAACAACGTGGAAATGTGTAGAAAGAACACCTCAATGTTTGGAACCCCAGCCTGTGGTTTTCATAGCTTGTCATTGACTTCAGTCTCTCCCAGTTTGTGTGATTGCCACAAAATTACTCAAAAGTGGTATCTCATGCCCTCTCTTTGTAAAAGCATCATTGACACAGCTAGGGCTTAATACATTGAAAGTTTTAGTGCTTAGAAAATAATCAGGTGTCAAAAGAAGCACAAAATGTACTATCATTTGCTGAAGGTTAATAGACTTTTTTCTAGACCTGTTTTTTTTTCCTCTACAGCATTACCTTCTAACAGGAGGCTGCTGCTTCAGATGAAGCAGAGATTGAAATGTCACACCAGCATGATCAATTAGATGATGCAGAATAGAAACACTGGCTATCCACAGGCTAAGATGGACTGAATGGAGAGGATAGAATACAGAGACTCAAAGGCAGAGGAAATCAGCGGCCTCTATTTAAATAGACAGTAGCAGTCTAAATGTTGAACGTGACAAAAAAGAACATTAATTATGATATATACTCGTTCACTTGTTTGCTCATTTCTGAGTGACCTCAAAATGAATATAAACATCTTTATGAAAAGAAGTAGAGTAGAAGAGGAAGCAGATAAGTTTTATTTTTTAAAAAACTTAGATTTTTATATAATTTTTTTATTTCATTTTCTTAACAAAAAGGAGAAAGATAGATGCAAAATATATGCAGGCTGGGAGATATTCTATGAAAAAGACTGTAGAAGATGTGACTAAGAAGGGGAAATGATAGCTGTCTTCCTTTTTTTAAAGGCTTGTCATGGAAGGAAAAATTAGACATATTGTGGTGGGAATGACAGAGAGGAAGGGCATATGAACTTTTTGACTTAGTGTTAGAAATGTCTTCCCCATATTTGGATCTTGACAACTTGCCTAGCTTTCCATTGCTGAGTCAAGGAAATCAGGGTTGTAGAGAAATTCTTTTTTTTTTTTAAATATATTTTATTGATTTTTTTACAGAGAGGAAGGGAGAGAGACAGAGAGCCAGAAACATCGATGAGAGAGAAACATTGACCAGCCACTTCCTGCACACCCCGCACCGGGGATGTGCCCGCAACCAATGTACATGCCCTTGACAGGAATGGAACCTGGGACCCTTCAATCCGCAGTCCGACGCTCTACCACTGAGCCAACTGGTTTCGGCTGTAGAGAAATTCTTGCATTAAATAAGATGACCTCAGTCACCCCCTAATATGTCCACTCTGGAGTTTTATATTACCTTGGAGAGATCTGAAATGGCATTGGAACTTCTTCAGGAGCAGAATTGAGTGAACTTTGGAGCTGCTTAGGCCTTGATAGAAGCAGCATGTAAGTGCTTCTTAGGCCTGGGAATGGTTGCTGGTCTGCTCGATTATGGACAGCTGGTGTTAGCAAAGGGATTTATTGAATTAGTCATGCCTAGTAACAATGTGTTTCTCCCTGGATTATTAGTTGATATCTGCTTTGTTTACTCTTTCAGTTTTATACTTATTTTTCTTTTCCATTCAAACACAATTTAATGTAATAGTGTGTGGTAGGGATCTGACTCCCAAAATAACCCACCATTTTTCCCCCCTAGGATCCATTTGGTTGTTTCTATTTCTGGAGTTCAGTTGTGAGACATCAGTTTATCATAGCTGTGGAAAGCTAGCAGAAGGTTCAGAGGAAAGCCACAGAAACGATGAAAGACTAGGAAAATGAAGTGGTAACATGTATCCTGGAGAAATAAGGTTGGGAGTGATGGTTACATGTGTTTGCATGCCACTTTTCCCCACACACCCGCTTAAATATATATATATGTTAATCAACTTATATCTAACTAACTGTAGTCTTCAAGTTCATGAAGGCTAATGGAGAGGGTATTTTTTATTGAGACATGGGCCTGAGCTTCAAGATGGTCACATAGTAGATATTCTATATTTAACAAATATTCATTGGATTAAATTGAATTCAACATTAGTTTTAATATAAGCAACATGCTGGTAGTGAAGATCATTAAACTTTAAAATGTGTTCCCAAGGAACACTGTGGCATCTTCATTTGAGAACATTTTTTGAATTGGATAGCTAATTATCTGTTTAGAATAAAAGTAGAGGAATAATTCTGAGTACTTCATAAGGATTCGTACAGCTCTTGATTTCTCTTGTGAGCTTTGCTTGTGTGTAAGCAAATCACTAAATCCATAACTCAGGGGTGAAATAACACTTACATACAAGATGACTGGGTAAAAAGAGAATCATCTCGTTTGAAACTGTGGTTTTCCTCTGATCACAAAATATATGATAGTCGAGTTCAGCACTATCAAATTTCCTGATAAAAATGATCACATGCTTCCCCAACATGTATTGAAAACTTACTATAGTTCCTGGGAGAATTTTATTTTGGGGAAGAAGGAACAGAATAAAATTTTGACGTTTATTGAAAATGGAATTGCATGGAGAGCATATTGTTCCAGAACAAATAGTGCCAATAGGAATTAATAATTTCAAGCTGGAATATGATTATAATTGAACTGTTGGAGAAACTTTCTGTTCTCATTCTGGCTGATAAGTAATATGGTACACATTTGGCAGTCCCCTCTCCAGCATACATTATTTCCCTTTTCCTGCCACTTCCATTCTCAGACAGGAAGTTTAAAGGACATTAACCCTACTTCTATTTCCATGTATACAGGGGTGGGAGAAAGTATGTTTACAGTTGTTCATCTGAAAAATAATACAATAATGCTATATAATAAAGAGGTAATATGCAAATTGACCCCCATACCCTCACAAAGATGGCTGCCTACAACCAGGCCAGCAAGGGTGTTAGTGAGGGACGACCAAACAATTGAACAGCAGGCTGTGTGGGGTGACATGGCTGGCAGGGTGGGGCAGTTGGGGGTGACCAGGCTGGTGGGAGGGGCAATTAGGGGCAACCATGCTGGTGGGGAGGGGAGTGGTAAGAGGCAACAAGGCCTGGGGGGGGGGTGCAGTTAGGAGTGACTAGGCTGGCGGGGGTGATTAGGATGGCAGGGAGATAGTTGGGGACTACCAGGCCGGCAGGAGGGGCAGTTGGGGGCTAGCAGGCCAGCAGGCAGGTGAGCAATTAGGAGCCAACGGTCTAGGATTATGAGAGGGATGTCCGACTGCTGGTTTAGGCCCCAATCCCTGGGACATCCCCCAAGGGGTCTTGGATTGAAGAGGGTGCAGGCTGGGCTGAGGGGACACCCCCTCCCCCCTCCGGTGCATGAAATTTATGCACTGGGCCTCTAGTTAATAGATAATAATACAAGGATAAATGTGTGTTTTATGTACAACACAACTGTAAGCCTACTTTTGTCCACCCCTGTATAATGAGGTGGTCCTAATTGGTTTAGTCTTAGCATATCCCAGTGTCCTGGATCACATGGGAAGAACATGAGGCCGATGAGAATGTGAATTCCAGAGGAGACCTTCTTTTCCTCTGGATGATGTGGTAAGTAGATGTGAAGGCTAACATTGCTACAGACATTTTGCTACTCTGAGGGGGAGCCCAGATCCTTTGAGGATGAAGTCTCTCTGTTCTTTAGTTTCCTCACCTTTAAAATGGAGATGATAGCCCCAATGGCATGGTTCAGTGGTTGAGTGTTGACCTTTGAACCAGGAGGTCAGAGCACATGCCTGGATTGTGGGCTCGATACTTAGTTGGGGGGCATGCAGGAGGTGGCTGATCAACGGTTCACTCTCATCATTGATGTTTCTATTTCTCTCTCCCTCTCCCTTCCTCTCTGAAATCAATAAAAATATATTTAAAAAAATGGAGATGATTAGTGTCTTACTCTAGGTTTGTTGTGGAACTAAATCGTTAAACTTATGTACGATGCTTAGACTAGCAAGCAGTCAATAAATAATAATTTTTATTAGTAGATATAGTATGTTCCTTCTAGTTTAACAAAAAAAGCATCATCATTTTCCCTTCCTCCCCCTCTCAACTCTGAACCCAATATAAATTTTGAGACTTGAGCTGTTTGGTTAATTGTATTTAATTACTTCAATTATTTTTTTTTCTCCTAAAGGCTCTACACTTCATTGATCTCTGCAAAATCTTCATTGATTTTTAGTCTCCCCACAGAATTGGTCTTGCCAGTATTACGTTGACATGTCAGCATTTAAATAATGAAGCCTTAGGGCCTTAGGGGCAGACCTCTAAGAACCATCTCTAGACCTGTAGTACCTCCATAATACATGATTCTTCCTCTCCGACCTGCAGCTCTGCTTGAGAATAGTTTTGCAGAGAAGGCAGAGCTGAGAGTGAGAAGAGTGAGAGGGAGGAGTGGTGATGCTGTTTCCTAGCAGCGCCCACAGAAGGGATGTTGTCAAATGGTAACTAACCTGGGGCATCTGTTGAGCTCCGTTAAGAGTCTGAGCTAATGAAGATCTGCATGTGCCTGTGTCTGCGAGGCCAGAAACGGCACTCGCTGAGGCTTCTGTGCTGTTCTTGCTGTCCTAGGAACATTTCTTCCTTGAATATCTGGGCTTGTCTGCTTATTACGTTAAAGATCAGCAGAGCCAGAGAATAATGGTTAGAATCCATTCTAGAAGATACAAATGCTGGATTTTTCTTTGAAAACAACCATTTCATCTTAGTAAGAAATTTGCCAAGTTTTTCGTTAAATACGACAGAACAGAGACATGTGATATTTACAGATATTTTTGTGGTGCTTTGGGAGAGATCATAGGAATCATAGGGAGGGAAGTCCATTTAAAGGAAAAAGGGTCTAAAGCAGAGGTTGCCCATAGGTAGAAGAGCGGATGGCAGAGGGGACATTTGAAGGGGAACTTCCACTTGTTCACTCTATATACCTCTGTCTAGCTTGAATTTTATGTTACAGTGCATTTATGTATTATTTGCATCATTTTAAGAAGAAAATTTAAAAATGTCAGTTATTTATTGAAAGCAGTCTGGGGATTCCTCAAAAAAAAAAAAAATTTAGAATAGAGCTATCATACCACCCAGCAATCCCTCTCCTGAGTACATACCTGAAAAACTTGGAACCATGTAGTCACAAAGATACATGCACCCCCATGTTCATTGCAGCATTATTCACAGTGCAAGACATGGAAACAACCAAGGTGCCCTAGATAGAGGGCTGGGTAAAGAAGATGTGGTACATATACTAGTATATAATACAATGGAATATTACTCAGCCATAGAAAGGATGAAATAGTGCCATTTGCAACAACATGGATGGACCTTGAGAACATTATGCAAAGTGAAATAAGTCAGTCAGAAAAAGCTAAGAACTATATGATTTCACTCATAGGTGGGATATAAAACTGAATCGGGGAAACACAAACAGCAGTGTGGTGATTGTTAGGGGGAAAAGGGTGGAGGGAGAAGGGAGTCCTAATATAAGGTGGCAGGAGATTTGACTTTGGGTGGTGGGCACACAGTACAATGTACAGGTTTTGTAAAATAGAAACCCACACCTGAAACCTATATGTTCATGTTGACCAATGTCACCACAATCTTACTAATAAAAGCCTAGGTGGTGCTCATGCCATTATGCTGTCACAAGATGGCTGCACCCACAGCAGAGGCAGGCTTCCCATCAGGAGCCCTAATGAGCGATAGGCAGGGACATGAGGCTGTGCCCCTTGCTCAGCGGGGTTTGACAGGGGTGGGGCCAGCCAGATCTGGGTCTCGCACAATTTTGAGGCACATGCGGGTGGGTGGGGACTTGACTCTGGGTCCTGCAGTGCATCCCAGACTTTGACAGAAGGAAGATTTTCATATACATTTTACTAATTTTCTTTAATCTCTGACACTTCTATTATAGAGAAAGGTCAAATAGCAATATTAAAATTTTTCCTCTAATTAATTCCTTTTTAATGTGCACAAATTATGTGCACCAGGCCACTAAATTTAATAAATGTAAAAGAATAAAAATTGTAAAATGTCAACAATTTCATCTAAGTTAAGGATGATATTTTCTATAGCTAATTGTTCAGATTATCCTAATCATTTCAGGTGTTTATACTTGAGTTATCTGATAATTCAGGTGAATTTAGACTCCATTAAATTTAATTTTTAGGTATACAGTTAACTCTTCTTTAATGTTTGAGATATTACATAATTTAGTATTTCCAAAAGGCCCTCTTAGCCTGTGGCTTTTTGAGTCTCCCCCCCCCCCCCCCCCCCCCCGCCCCCAATACTTGTGGGTATTGGGCTGTGTTTACATCTTTAGTGAATATTTTTTCCTTTCCTTTTCTTTTTTCTTTTATCATTGTCTGAAGTGTTACATATATCTTCTTTTTCCCCAATTGACCCTCCTTCCCCCGCCATTCCCACCCTGGACAAGCCCCCTCTGCCCCAGTGCCTGTGTCCATTGGATATGCTAATATGCTTGCATACAAGTCCTTTGGTTGCTCTCTAACCTTCATCCCCTACCATTTGTCTCTAGATCTATTCTTGTTCATCAAATTATGTTGTTTACATCTTTAGTGAATATTTTTCCTGGGAGATTTGTTCTGAGATAAAACAGCCTCTTGGATCTCCAGGATATTTATGACTCCTGGCTTTCACCACTTCCCGATGAATGAGAGTTGTTTGCCTTGTGAATGGAGTTTTGCAGTCACCTCACACTCACAGTGATTGGAACTTTGTGCTGTGGTTGGATACCACAGCTCATGAAAAGTAGAAATTTCAATCAAGACGGGCCTTTGGGGTCATCCAGCCCAACCTTCAGTTCATATATGGGGAGAAGTTGGCCCAGGATGCTCACAGGGGTTTCCTAAGGTCCCTGTATCACTGCCAGGGGCAGGATGGAGACTGGACGCCGGCTCTTCTGGCTCATTCCTCTTCCTGACACACCGGGAGCTGAGGAGTCACCCAGAAGTCAGCCTGCTCATTTTATTTGCGTTCTGGACACTGGAAACAAATTTGAACCATGTGGAACTTGAGGAATCCAGAGGATAGGAAATGGAGTTAGTGGAACAGAATGTCATCTAAATAAACAATAGAACTCGGGTTTAACCTGAGGGATATTTTACATCTGTGTGCCAGCTTGAAAAGATTATTATTGCTTGTTAACAAAAATGATAAATGTTCAATTTCAAATGTTTTTGCACAAAGAAGAAAATTAAAATTATTAATTGCATTGTCAAGAAATGATCAAGATTAATATTTTGAAATTGTGCACATACATAGACACATATAAATTCAACTCAGATCATACTGTATACATAATTTTTTATCCTTTTTTCATTTAATATTATATGATGAGCATTTTCCCATGTCATCAAATTTTCTGAAAACATACAATTTCTAAAAGTTTAAATAAGATTCTCAGGTTGTTGTTTTATTTTTATTTTGATTGTTTTAAGTGATGGACTGTTAGAACCGCATGATATGGAATAAGTGCGGAATGAGAAGAAAGGGGGTGCTGAGGTTTGGTGCTGTGGTCTGAGATGTGAGCCTGGAATGAAGAGGGACAGCAGCAGCTGAGGGCTGCCAGTCCTCTGCAAGCAGCCACACGAGGGCCTTGAGAGGCAGGTGACAGAAAGTCAATTCTAAGACACACACCTAAGACAATGCAATCATTTCTGACTTTGTCCTCTCATCAGCATCAACATATACTACAAAGCATTCCCCCAGCCACAGAGTGGGCACTGCAGGCTGCCATGCTATCAAGGACTCATCTTTCGGGGGAAGTGAGTCAGATGCGTAACTGACTCCAGAACTCAGGCATTGATTACCCAGCCTCCTTTGTCTCCCTTCAGCACATGGACTTCAGACCATGCCACTGCTTATTACCTTTCCAGTAGAAGCTGGGCAGTTAAAGCAGGAAGGGGTAAAGTTCACAGCAGCCCACTTTGCTCCATGTTAATCAATTTTTCGAAAAGGTGCAATGTAGAGAGTGGCTACAGCGTTTGGACAGGTTCAAGCCTCAGACTCACGAGAGGGCACAGTTCCCTCATGGCCATGTGCAAGGCAGAGCCCTCCCAGCACAATGATAGCCAACAGCTGTAGTTGTAAGCTTAAACTTATGGTCCGAACACGTGGTCCCACGTGCCTGAGTGATATGGGCTTGATAGAGTTCAGGTGCATGTAATTGAGTAGGATCCAAACCTACGAGAATGTTGTAAACATCTTGATTACGCCCTTCCTTTGCCTCGTGGCATCTGGCTATAAAATGAAGACAGGGCTTGGCTTGCAGTCCTTGGCGCTGCCACAAACTCCATCACAGAGGACAGCGTCCCACTGAGACCCAGCTTTCATTCTCTTGTCTGTCTTTTCTCAATCCTTCACCGCCCCCCACTCAGGTTCACCATTGGCTGTGCTGGCGCGGCACAGTGCAGTGAAGAATGAGGTAAAGTATGGGAAGTGCTTGCCTTCATTTACTTCTTGGGTTGCCTGTTGCTGATGATTGGGAACTTGCAGAGTAGCAAGCGCTGACATAACCTCACAGGTGAAAGTCAAACCCAGCATCAGGGCTGGTTTATCATTTGGGACTGGAAACCGAGTAAATGATTAGAGAGGCCCCACTTCTGAAAAGTGCTCACTGGGAGAATGGGGCGAGGTAGATGAAGCCAGCTTCTCTCTAGGGCTCTGGGCACAATGACGCTTTTCCTTTCCACTCTTCCCCATGAAGAGTGGAAATGATCTATATATAATGATCTAGTATATAGATAATTAAAGAGGCTAATTATACCTCTGTTCTAATGAAACAAGCAGAATTCAGGTAGGGAGCAAAGTACTTTGGGTGAAAAGAGAGTGTATGTAATGATTCCAGAAAATGTTCCCGGGTCTGATAAATACAAGGTACAGAGAGCAGTAACCACGCAGGAGTATTTTGCTTTCTTTGTGCTTTCCCTGTGGGCTGGGCTGACGATGAGTCTGTTGCCAGCAGGGTATGGTTTCCTCCTGTGCAGAAATGCCAAATTTGTAGCTCTTGGTGGGGGATGAGCTGGGAATGTGATTTCTTTCTTTCTCCAGTAATTTTCTGTCTGCCTGCGTGAAATGCCAATGAACATCTCACATGACAGCAATCAGATGGATCCCTATTTTACTATTTTGGGCAGATTCTGACAAAAGTGTAGGTTTTCCTGGAACAGTGTCAAGACACTTCTAGCAGGCCCTTCCCGCTCCTCCAAATTTGTGCCCAGGATGTCCCTCTCTTTGTGCTGAGCAGATGTGTTGTGGCTCTGATTTAAAATAAGCTCTGTATGTATGGCGATGGCATCTCTGCATCCCCTCTTATTCCATCAGGTTTCTGTGTCCAAGTCTCTGGGAAAGTCTGTCTTTAGTAAAATAAGCCTTGACAAAATCTTAGATTAATCCTGACTTTTATTATTAGTCTTAAATGAGTAGCATTAAAGCCAACTTTTATTCATTATTTTAACAAATTAGGGGTGGGATAGGGCATGAATTGGCAGCTGAACATGCTAATGGGCTACAGGTTAAATGCCTAAAGGATTTTTATAATTGCATCATCAAATAAGATTACTTTAAAGGAGAGACTTAAAATGAAAACAGAGCTTCTGATAATCAAATTTTGATCTAAGGACCTGGCTTATTGATGGTGCCAGTGGGGAAGGTTAAACTGGGGGCATGGCAACCATCATTTGTGGAATTGATTGGTGGCTGTCTGGTACCCTCACCTCATCCACAGAAGGTCACCCACAGATTCTGTGAATGACGGAAGAGTTCATGAGGCTCAAGGATGGATGGAACCTTACTAACTGCAGAGACAAACAGAGACTGTCTTTGAATCTCTATTGGGGAGAATCTTCTCTCAGCCACTGACTGACGAGAAGCCAAATGTGTGAAGTTAGGGTTCATCTTGCTTTCTATTTGCAACATATGGCCATCTGTGGCAGTTGGACATTCTTTATTTCCATCGTAGAAGAGCGAGAGGGATAAGAGATGGTGTTTGTAAATGCAATGAAACTTAGATACAGGGCAGAGGGAAAAATGGGCCTGGGAATCATTCCCCAGCATGAATCCAGCTTGTTTAGGAGCCCCTGGTTCGGAGGTCTCCTTTCTGTTCCAGCTCCTCCTTCGACTCTCCTCATTTATCTTCCTAGCGACCTCAGAAACTCTAAGGTTTGATATTAAGTTACTACCCAAAAGTCCTTGACTGCAAAATATGCCAGCTAAAAGGACTTTCAATCACTAACATACCCAGGCCAAGCTGTGTTTTCTCTTTGTCCCTCTTAGTTTCTATCATATAGGAAAGAAATAGAAAGATACCACTATTAAGAAATTTGAAAATATGCTTGGTCTGCAATAGACTGGATTTCAGAAGAGCTTAAAGTAGCAAACTTGGAATAATTATAAGTACTAAGAAAGACAGCTTGGAAAGGTTCTTAATTTTTCTGAAAGAGCTTCAATATTTAGAGAAAAAATTAGTAAATTAGCATTTTGGTTGGAATGGCAAAGGTGAAGAAGGTTTTATTGAATGTTATGAAAGTGTGAGGAATATAGATTGGGTTAACATTCATTGGCTCAATCTAGGAATACCCGGTAGGAGATATGAGAAGAAGGCTATACTTCTATTATTTATTTATTTTTAAATATATTTTTATTGACTTCAGAGAGGAAGGAAGAGGGAGAGATAGAAACATCATTGATGAGAAAGAATTCATTGATCAGCAGCCTTTTGCATGGCCCCTTCTGGGGATGGAGCCCACAACTCAGGCATATGCCCTTAACTGGAATTGAACCCTGGACTCTTTAGTCTATAGGCTGACGCTCTATCCACTGAGCCAAACTGGCTAGGCACATTATAATTTTACATACTGTTATAAAAGACAAAAATGTTTTCAATTAATCTGTGACACAAAGCCTTAAAGATCACCTTGCATGTCACATTTGTTGGTGACACCGGTCTCTCAATGCTTTGACATTTCTTTCATCTATCCACAGATTTGGCAATTCTTTTGCCTTTAGTTTCATTACTTGGCCACCAGAAGATGTTTTGCATATGCTCCAGAGAGCAAAATGTAACATGGCTTCACCTGCTTAGTTTCCATAAAGCGCTTCCAGATTTGTTGCTTTGAAGTAGTAGTGATCATTCTCCCTATAATGCATATTTGTTGCACCAATATAGCATTTCCCAGCTGCTGCTCTGTTTACATGCCTTTTTGTTTACACAATGACTTTTCATCTCTATGCCAACTCATAGTGTTACTTTTGAAGACATTTTAAATAGCAATGAAATGAACACGTGTAATACCAACAATGTACCTTAATTCAATTGAGATAATGACAGGATGACTATCTCTGACCAAATTCACATGTGCCTTGCAATGACAGGAACTTTGTGCCTCTGTGTGGCTGAGGGGAATAATAAGATGCCAGCTACTATGACACATTCCAATTTCAGAGATGTTAAAATGTGGAAAAAGGTGAATGTTAGCATCAATGAATAATATACGTTAAAGTTTTTAAAAATTTTAAATTGATTTTAGAGAGAAGAAGGGAGAGAGAGAAACACTGATGTGAGAGAGAAACATCAATCGGTTGCCAGCTGAAAATGGGAGTGCAAATCCAATGCACCCTGTGATTGGGGGAATACAGGCCCTCAGACCTCAAGAGGGGAGGTAGCTGCTTGCTTTCTAGCTCAGCCCTGCTCCATCAGAGACTCCGCGGGGAGACTCCAAGGGGTCACACCAGATGACTGAGCACTGAGTTGTGTCCCTTTCCCATGTGAGGCTGTATCACACAGATGTGCCAGCAAGGCTTGGAGGAACAAAATAAGGTAGCCCTCTCCAGTCAGGGTGACACTTACCCTTGGGAGGGGAGAGAGAGCTGCTCGCCTGCTTCTATGTCTGCAGTGCTCTGTCAGAGGCCCTATAGGGGTGCTCTGAGTAAGCCAGGTCCAATGTGCAAGCTCTGATTTGTGCTTCCTTCCCCCAGTAGGTATGAGGATAGCAGGGTGGGGCCAGCTGAATCTGGAGTTGTAAATCTAACTTGCCCTTTGATGGAGATGGTGTGGGTCTTTAGCCCTGGAGAGGGGAAGTGGCCGATCTCCTTTTAGTTCCACGTCAGAGCTCTGGAAGGGAGATTCCAAAGGGTTGCACCAGTTTGACAGTTCTGATTTGTGATCCCTTACCCTGTGAGACTGTGAGATTGCACCTGCAGGAACGGTGCAGTGTGGGGAGGCTTGGAGCAATAGCTCGAGGCTGCCCCCTCTGCTTGGGGTAGTGCTGGCACTTGGGAAGAAGAGAGAGTGCTTACGGGCCCCTTCTGTCTCTGCAGCTCACTTTCAGAGACCCTGATGTAGACCTTCAAGAGGGTGGCTCCAGATGACCTAGTTCTGACCCACAATTCCTCCCCCATTTGGTTCTGTGCTTGGCTGGTTGGCGCTGGCAGGTTTTGGTAATGCAAGTCCAGGCAGCTCCTTGTTAGGGGTGGCATGGGTCCTGGGCCTTCAAGAAGGGGGCTAGTCACTTGCCCTACAGCTCAGCGGTGCCCCACTAGAGGTATTATAATAGAACGAGGCTTGTAGGGGGTTGCACCAGATTTCACCGTTTTATTTTGTCACCCTTTAGCCAGTGAGGCTGTGCCTGCAGGACAGTGTAGGTGGGGCTTGGAGTAATAGGTCAAGGCTGCCCCCTCCACTGAGGGTGGCTCCAACTCTTGTGGCCTCTATCCCTGCAGCTCACTCACTGCCAGAGGCCCTGGCGAAGACCTCTGAGGAGGCCAGCTCTAAACGTCCCAGTTGTGGCTTGTACTCCTTCCCTCTGTGACCCTGCGCTTGGCTGTGGTGCTCAGGTTTGGGGAATGCAAATCCAGGTGGCACCTTGTTGGGAGTGGCTTTATTTTTTAACTTCTCTAGTTTGTCCAACCTTGTTGGTTGGAAACTCTTTATTAGCTGCCACGTTATCCAGCTGAATAATATGTTACTGCTATAATTTCCCAAGACTCTGAGAGTCAAACAGGACCTGTCTGCTTTAGGTAACTGCAGTAACCCCAAAGGCCTGTGTCTCCTCTCAGGGACAGAAATACTGTTTGTGTTAGTGTCTTCATCCTCTTTGGTACCTTCTATCTGCATGTCATCCTGGTCATCCTCAGACATGGTGTGATATGGTGGAAAGGTAGGGGAATTTAGAAATTTGGAATGACAAGGACTAGGTTTGAATCAGGCCCTTCTGCTTCCTAGTTGTGTGAGATCTTAGAAAAAATTGCTGAATTTTT